AATCCAAAGAGGTGATCATGATTTTGAGAAAAGATGATTTGCAAATCATAGATGTATTTTATAAAGAATTCTTAAAGATCAGAGCACATCAAAATAATGAATCAAGTTTCTTGAATTTTTTTTAAAGATAGCAATGAGTTAATTTTGATAATTTACTTAGAGCAGATCACTTATAGAGGACTCAACTTCAAGAATGCTAAAATTAGTTCATTTTTGAAAACGATGAGAGAAATATTATTGAAATTAATGAAAAAGGTTATAGAATCAATGATGATGTGGATAAGTTTCATTTTTGGGGCATAAGATCAGGGCCAAGATTTGATCAAGTGAATTTCGTATACTTCCACTATTGCTCAGGCTTTAAGGATGGATAAAATTTGTCAAAATGAAGATCAAGTGAAATACAAAATTTGATTCTGATGTAGTGAAATTATGAACTAGAAACTCAAACTTTATATTCTCCATGTCATTTATCCTTGGAAAGTATTCTTCAATCATTGTCCTATAATGTTGAAACAATGTGTCCTAGTTTCATCTAAGTTTATATGCTCTATTTTCTATGTTTACATTTCTTCTAGAAAATCTGTATTTTGATTTTATATGTTTATAGACTAAAGGCTTATAAAAAATTATATCACTCAAACATAAATCATCATTCGTCACATGAATTTTATCTAAAAAAAATTGAATAATTAAGAATTTCAATTAGCTTCAGGCTAATTTCTAAACATAAATAGATTTTGATTTTTAATTAGTTCAAATTATATACCTCTTTTCGTTAAACATTCTAATGTTTGTTCTAAGACTAGAAAATCATTATGCTGAAACATTTAGTGAAAACTTTGATTAGTCGAAATTCGATGTTAATAAAATTCAAAGTAATATCATTGTTATTCAATTGATTTTGAATAAGATGATGCTCAATGTATAAACTTTTCTGTTCTAGAAAAAATGGTGGAATATTTTCTTAATTGATTATATAATACCATTAGAATAAGCCCATTGGACCCACCAAGCCCATTTTTGACTTATTCTCTCTATATTCTTATTCTTCCTCTACTATCTCTACTTCTTCCTCTCTCTCTCTCTCTCTCTCTCTCTCTCTCTCTCTCTCTCTCTCTCTTTCTTCCTTTCTTCTATATAACCTCATGTACTTCTCTTCTTCAATATATCAATTCTAGGGTTTTCTCTTCCTTTTGTCAAAATGGTATCAAAGTCCTAGGATTCTCTACTGCTGCTGCTCCATTTTCTTTCGTATCTCGGTCTCACCTATCCTTTCCCGGCACAATCTCCTACAGCACCACCTTACATCATGCCTACGTGGTGCTTGATCTATGTAGCCATGTATGCTTGCCATGCCTCTTTTAGTGCACACTTGTGTGCTTGTTTGGCACTTATCCAATGTCGTTCCTACACACTCGCCTGATGTGCCGCTGCACTTGAATGCTTGACGATGCCATCTCTCGCTAGTGCCCCATGCACCGACTGCAAGTGCCGCACGCACCACCTCCTAGTGCCCCACACCTCATCTCCGACGCTGCCCTATGCCACCTCCTAGTGCCGGCCCTACATTGCCTCTTAATGTCCCATACATTGTCTCCTAACATCCTGTGTGGTTCTAAAGATGTCCCCTCCTAGTGTTATCTCATCTCTCGCTAATCCTAATCTATGGATCTAGTGGGTGAATCCTGAATTTCTCAAGCACATCTTTTGCTAGTTCTTCAGTTGACTGTTGCTCTTCCTACGATTGAGTTAGCTACTCTATGACACTTCATCACAATGCAATTCACTTGACTGACATATGTGTTTAATGGACATAATTATGCGTCGTAAGCCTCTGGATTTGACCTAGTGCCGGTCGAGATCTTTGTGTCACTTCTTACTTACAAGTAGATGACTCCTCACTTTAAGTTCATTTCGATCATCTTTAAGCCTTGTCATAAGAGCTTGCCATCTATCAACATCTGACCACTGACCTCTAGACATTCAAATGCAACCATTAGGAGTTTTTTATTAGAGTCTATTTGAGTGGACTTCTCCAATCGATTATCTCTCAAATTTGTGAGACAATCCTCTCTAGAGACTAGGTACTTGATATCTTTCAAATTTTCTTTATTGTATTTTGTGTGAGTATATGCACTCTTCCTACTATCGCCAGCATCACATCTACTCATTTGGCAATGGTCATCTCTACTCCTCAAACAACACATGTTTCTTTTACTTTATGACCAGACAGTGGATGTCCCCAATAAGGAAAGGGCCACAGTTCTTTTCCTCCATACATCTATTGCGGCAAGCAGAACCACCTATCCAACAAATATTGAAAACATCTTTGACTTAATAAGTGACATTGACCTCCACCGAGTATGAAGTAGTATGTTACTCTATTGGTACCATGGCTCATTTCTTGATCAATCTAACTTTACTTTTGAATCCTTCCACATCAAGTACACACATTCTCCTTACATCTTCATCGTCACCATAGATTATTGACTTAGGGGCCTCCATTCACATGACAGACACATCCACAATTTTATGATCATACTAGCCTACATGTCATCATCCTTTGGTTATCATTGTCGATGGTTAAACTTGTTCGATCAACATACATGACAATAATATTGTTACCTCAAGTATTCCTCTCACCTAGGTTCTCTATATTCTCGGATTTCTTGCTAACCTCTTATATATGAGTGTTATTACTCGAGTCATCCTTTACTCTATTACATTTTTCTCTTGCTAACCTCTTATATATGAGTGTTCTTCTAACCTTCAAGCTCTTTTTATTTCCTCTACAGTCACTTCATCTATTTTGTGGCATCGTTGTTTAGACAAACATCATCGTGGTTCATATTCAAGTCGAGATCAGATTCTATCTAAAATATCCTTTTACCTCATGTTATGATATTTGAGGCCCTTCTTATACTCCATCTGTCTCAAGCCAGCGCTACTATATTGTCTTTATTGATGACTATATTCGAGTGAGTTGAGTATAACTTCTCTAAGATTATACTCAAATTAATATCACAATTGTTCACTTTATTATCGAGGTCATTGACATGACTTAGTCGTTGTATAGTAAATCATGTAAATTTAAAATTTATAAAACTAAAAAATACAAATTTTTGGATATTTAAATATATTTCTAAATAAATATATCAATTATAATTTAATGAAACTTCCAAAAATAATAGTAATTTTCTAAGTCGATCATAGGGATGTAATATAATATTAGGTAATTATTTAAAATTTTTCTTTAAGAATATGAGTTTCTATGAATTTTATACTAGAAAATAAAAATAAAAATAATTTAAAATTCATAAAAAAGGGAAATAAGGATGCAGACGTTAGAATGACATCAGCACTTGACAAACACGAATTAAATAGAAATAGAGTTTTACTTGACGATTCTAATGTAAGTGATTACAGACAATTTAATTGATCAAATTAAGATTTATAAAAGTGGAAAGAATCATGATTGAATGAAGTATAGCTTGGTAAATTTAAATCACACAAATTATCACTAAATAAAATAGAAATTAATTTGAAAGTAAGAAAATAGAGTTTTGACGTCACTATGGTGATGCATCGATGATGTACTGAAATCTTGAGCATTCGAGAGGATTGTCATGTAGTGTCCATTGCCTCAACGGCTTTCATTAGACAAAGACGACATGAGAAATTTCTAGATCTTTTTACGAAGTCTAGAGATCAATGAAATGGGTCATTGAATCATCTCCAACAGCTATCACCTAGTGGAATAGAAAAACGACGACTTTGCGGCTCTCTAGCGGCTATCACTTAATAGAAGGAGTTAGATGGAGGTAGGTCACATGTTAGGGAGCTTCATCTTTAGGTCCGCACAGTAAGAGGAGTGATGTGACTTAGTTGTTGTATAGTAAATCATGCAAATTTAAAATTTATAAAACTAGAAAATATAAATTTTTAGATATTTAGAAGTATTTCTAAACAGATATATCAATTATAATTTAATAAAACCTCCAAAAATAATGATAATTTTCCAAGTCGATCACAAGGATGTAATATAATATCTGATAATTATTTAGAATTATTTGCAAAGAATACTATTTTCTATGAATTTTATACTAGAAAATAAAAATGAAATATATTTAAAATTTACAAAAAAAAGGAAATAAGGGTGCAGATGTCATGATGACATCATCACTTGGTGAACACGAATTGGGCAGAAACAGAGTTCCACCTAGTGATTTTTACGTAAGCGATTCTAGACAATTTAATTGATCAAATGAAAATTTGTAAAAGCCAGAAGAATCGTAATGGAATGAAGTGTATCTTAGTAAACTTAAAATCAAAAAATTATCACTAAATGAAGCAGAAATTAAGTTGAAAGTAGGAAAAATAGAGTTCTGGCATCACGACGATGATGCGTCGGTGATGCATCAAAATCTTGAGCACTCAGAAGGATCATTGTGTAGTGTCCACAGCCTTGAAGGCTCTCCTTAGATAAAGACGATGTGGGCAATCTCTAAATCTCTTTCCGAAGTCTAGAGATCAATGAAATGAGTCATCGAATCGTTTCCAGTGGTTGTCACCTAGTAGAGCAAAAAAATGACGACTTTGCAGCTCTCCGATAGTTGTCGCCTGACAAAGAGAAGCTGGATGGAGGTGGGCGCGTGTCAGGCAACTTCATCTTTAGGTCCGCACAATAAGAGGAGGCTCTTCATCGCATCTGGTATGTTCTCAAGAGGTGGTGACTCATCTCCCGACAGATCATTCTCTTCTCGACGACGAATTGTTCGTCGATTAATTAGAGATGCTTTACTTGATGGATTTGTAATCCTTTTATGGTGAATAATTTAGTAATTTTTGTAACAATGCTCCACAAATTATGATGACAAGATTTTTGCTGATGTTTCATTGATTATGGTTGCTTAATCCTTCACCGGTGATCTGTAAGAAAGTCGTGATAATTAGATAAAAAAATATGAGTTTTGGCAATGGGAGGATTCAAACCTGCATCAGTTGCCTGCCCTTTCTAGGGAAGGTGTGACGCAGGTTTAGTCTCACATTACTTGTGCGTCGAAGTTTCAGGCGAATATATAGTAATGTTACATTTGAAAGCAAGTCACTTTCTCACATGTGTATGACCACTCCTTGCCCCATAGCCGGTTGGCCACCGATGACATGGAAAGGGAGTGGCGCACACATGCCCCTATTGGTCCAAGCTGCTCGAACCCCTACTTGTGGCTACTCCCCAATTATGCTTCCTACCTATTTGTGGGCCCAACTAGCCAGCAAGCCCCCCTCATTTTGCTATATTTTTATTTTTATTTCTTTTTCTTCATTTATCTCAAAAGTAAGACTATAAAAATCATATAAATTTGTATAAAATCACATAATTATTCAAAAATTCACATTAATCAACTGAAAACTACTTTTCACACTTTAACACAAATATAAGTCTATTTATCATGAGTTAAGGCTAAAACTATATTATTTACTAATTATTAACTCATGATAATGAAGACTTATCAAGGAGGCTCTTCATCGCATTTGGTATGCTCTCAAGAGGTGGCGACTCATCTCCTGGCAGATCATCTTCTTCTTGACGACAACTTATTCGTTGATTAATCAGAGATGATTTACTTGATGGATTCACAATCCTTTTATTGAGAATTGTTCTACAATTTTAGTAACAATGCTCTATGAATCACGTTGATGAGATTTTTGCCAATGATCTAATGATTCTGACGGCTTAATCCTTCACCAGCAATTTGCAAGAAAGTCATGATAATTAGATAAAAATATGAGTTTTGACTCTCAAAGGATTTGAATTGAGGCCGGTTGCCCACCTTTGAAGTCTTTTGGTGGAAGGTGTGACATAGATTTAGTCCCACATCACTTGTGTGCTAAAGTTTTAGGTGAATAAATACTAATATCATATTTCTAAGCAATGAGTCCCTTTCTTCTGTGTACGACCACTCCTTGCCCCACAATCAGCTGGCCACTAGTGATGTGGAAGGGGAGTGGCATACACATTCCCCCATCAGTCTTAGCTGCTCAATCCCCTACTCACGGCTCCCTTTGACTACGCTTTCGACCCGCTTACAAGCCCGGCTGGCCAGTGAGTCCCTTCATTTTGCCATATTTTTATTTTTTTTAATCTATTTATCTAAAAAATAGGACTATAAAAATCATATAAATTTGCAAAAAATTATATAATTAACCAAAAATTTATGTTAATCAATTGAAAACCACTTTTCACAATTTAATATAAATATAAGTCTATTTATCATGAGTTAAGGCTAAAAATATATTATTTACTAATTATTAACTCATGATAATGAAGACTTATTAGTCATCACTCAGTACTCTACTATGCTGAAGATTCTTTACACTAATAATACTTTAGAGCTAGTCTAAGACTTTCTTTGTATATTTTATTTTTATTGTGGTATTTTTCATCAGATCATGTGTCCACATACATTAGTCATTGAGATGAATGTTTCTCCTTTTATGTGGTATGATGCTCTTTTGATAGTTACATATCTCTAAAATTATTTTTCTTCTAGTCCACTTTTGAGGCTATTTTACTTCATCATTTTTCAACTGATCCTTCTCTTTTTTTCGTACCCCTTTGTGTCTTGGATGCACTACTTTCATCTAAGACTACTCTCATTTTCTTTCTAAACTAGCACTTTGTGCTCTCAAAGAAGTCTTTGTTGGCTACTCACTAACACAAAAAGATTATTAGGTCTATTTTCTTGATACTCGCTGCTATGTGACATTAGCTGACATTATTTTTCATGAAGAGTTTCTCTTCTTTTTTCCAACATCAACTCCTCGATTCACTACATTTTCACCACTTGGTTTTTCTCCTATGATGGTCATTATAGATCTCTCTCTTACTCCTACTTGTCTAGTTTCTCTCTCGTCAGCTTTTCCTTTAACACCTTTGGCTTTGTTGCCATCTGACTCCTTTACTCCGAAATCAAATTCATCTTCACCCTCTACCAATGAGCCTCCTTTGGTTGTCTCTTCTCACATTCATGTAGATAACCTTCATCTTTTTATTGCTCTCTATAAAGATATGCTTGCATGCACAAAACAACTAATTTCTCACTTTAGTTTCTACAATTACCTTTCTCCTTCCTTTCATACCTTTGCTTTTTCTATGAGCTCCGAGTCGATTTCATAGTCATATGTTGAGGCTACACAAGTATTAGAACAAATGGCAGCCTTGGACTTAGAGGTGGATGCCTTAGTGTCTCAAAAAACTTAGACACTTGTATCTCATCCACACGATACCAACATCGTCACATACAAGTGGGTTTTTGTACTCAAGTATAACTTAGATGAATCTATTGCATATAACAAGACTCACTTGGTTGCTCGTGGATTAATGTAAGCCTATGACATTGACTACACCGAGATATTTCTCTAGTGGTTTCACTTAACTCTACTTGAGTTATACTCTCTATAAGGGTGAATCAAACATGGTCTTTATATCAAGTGGATATTTTTAATACCTTTCTCTATGGTGACTTTGAGGAGCAAGTGTTTATGAAACAATCTCTTGGATATGTTGCTTAGGGAGAGTCATCGAAAATGTGTCTTTTGTAGCGCCTCATTTACAGACTTAAGTAATGTCCATGTGCCTAACTCACCATGTTCAGTGGTCTTTTAGTGTAATTTAGATTCTCACCATATCTTGCAGATCTCACATTACTTAAAAAGACTACTAAAGTTGGTATTATGATCTTAGCTATTTATATGGATAATGATAAGTCTTCATTATCATGAGTAAATAATTAGTAAACAATATAGTTTTAGCCTTAACTCATATAAATAAACTTATATTTATGTTAAAGTATGTAAAGTAGTTTTTAGTTGATTAACATGAATTTTTGACTAATTATGTGATTTTTTATGAATTTATATGATTTTTCTAGTCTTATTTTTGAGATAAATGAAGAAAAAGAAATAAAAATAAAAATATAATAAAATAGGGGAGACCTACTGGCCAATTGAGCCCGCAAGCGGGTTAGAAGTGTAGTCCAAGAGGAGCTACAAGTAGAGGCTCAAGTGATTAGGACCAATGGGGGCATGTGTTTGCCACTTTCCTTCTACGTCACCGGTAGCTCGTAAGTTGTGGGACAAGGAGTAGTCGTACATGTGAGAGAAAAGGATTCATTGCTTATGTAATATTACTATATATTCGTCTGAAACTTTGGCGCACAAGTAATGTGATACTAAACTTAGTTTACACCTTCCCCCAAAAGACTTCGATGATTTTAATACCTAAAATACTCCTTATTTATAATAGAGATATACCATGATGACGTCACTTGATAAGAGCATTAGAGTACTTATTTCAATCTCTTTCATACAAGCGGGCAACTAGCACGAGTTTGAATCCTCCTAGAGTTAAAACTCGTATTTTTATCTAATTATCATGACTTTCCTAATCACCGGTGAAGGATTAAGCCACTAGAATTGTTAGATCATTAGTGAAAATCTCATCAATGTGATTCACGAAACATTGTTCTTAAAATTACTAAAAGATTCACGATAAAAGATTGCAAATCCATTAAGTAAATCATCTCCGATTGATTGACAAACAAGCCATCGTTGGGAAGAGGATGATATGTTAGGAGACGAGTCGCCACCTCTTGAGAGCGTACCAAATGCGATGAAGAGTCTCCTCTTGTTGTGAGGACCTGAGGATGAAGTTCTTTGATAAGTCTTCATTATCATGAGTTAATAATTAGTAAATAATATAGTTTTAACCTTAACTCATGATAAATATACTTATATTTATATTAAATTGTGAAAAGTGGTTTTTAATTGATTAATATATATTTTTAGGTAATTATGTGATTTTATATAAATTTATATAATTTTTACAGTCTTACTTTTGAGATAAATGAAGAAAAAGAAATAAAAATAAAAATAAAACAAAATGAGGGGGACCCACTAACCAATCAGGCCTTGCAAGCAAGTGGGGAAGTAGCCACGAGCAAGGGCTCAAGCAACTAGGACTGATAGAGGCATGTGTACACCACTCTCCTTCCATGTCATTGGTAACCAGCTAGTTGTGGGACAAGGAGTGGTCATATACATGGGAGAAAGGGACTTATTTATAAATATAATATTACTATATATTCGCCTGAAATTTTGGTGCACAAGTGATGTGAGACTAAACCCACGTCACACCTTCTCCCCAAAGGCTTCGATGATTTTAAATACCGACAATACCTCTTATTTATAATAGAAATATACCATGATGACATCATTTAATAAGGGTTTTAGAATACTTATGTCAATCTCTCTCATATAGATGGGCAACTAGTGTAGGTTCAAATTCTCTCACAATTAAAACTCATATTTTTTATTTGATTATCATGACTTTTCTGCAGATTGCTGGTGAAGGATTAAGCCGTCAAAATTGCTAAATCATCAGCGAAAATCTCATCAATGCAATTTGCGAAGTATTGTTACTAAAATTGTTGAACAATTCATGATAAAAGGATAGCAAATCTATCGAGTAAAATATCTTCGATTGATCGACGAACAAGCCGTCGTTGGGAAAAAGATTATCCACTAGGAGACAAGTCACCACCTCTTGAGAGCATACTAGATGCGATCAAGAGCCTCTTCTTGTTGCATGAACTTAAGGATGAAGCTCTCTGACACGTGCCCCACTTCTATTCAACTCCTCTTCATCGGGTGATAGCTGCTAGAGAGATGCAATGTCATTATTTTTCTGCTCCGTTGGGTGAGAGCCATTAGAGATGATTTGACGACCCATTTTATTAATTTCTAGACTTTGGAAGGAGATCTAGAGATTGTCCATGTCATCCTTATCTAAAGAGAGCCTTCAAGGTTGTGGACATTACACAATGATCCTTTCGAACGCTCAAGATTTCGATACATTGTCAACTCATCACCGCTGCAATGCTAGAATTGTATTTTCTTACTTTCAATTTAATTTCTACTTCATTTAGTGATAATTTGTGTGATTTAAATTTACCAAGATATACTTCATTCTATTACGATTCTTCTAACTTTTATAGATCTTAATTTGATCAATTAAATTGATTGTAATTGCTTATGTAATAATCATTGGGTGAAACTCTATTTCTGCTTGATTCGCATTTGCCAGGTGCTGACATCAGCTTGACGTCCACACCTTTATTTCCCTTCTTTGTGAATTTTAAATATATTTAATTTTCATTTTTAGTATAAAATTAGTAGAAAATAGTATTCTTTGAGAAAATTTTTGAATAATTATTTGATATTATATTACATCCCTATGATTGACCTAAAAAATTACTGCTATTTTTGGAAGTTTTATTGAATTATAATTGATATATTTGTTTATAAATAATTTTAATATCTAAATATTAATATTTTCTAGCTTTATAAATTTTAAATTTGTATGATTTACTATACAAGGACTAAGTCACGTCACTCCCTAACATGCGCTCCACCTCCATTCAACTCTTCTATGTCGGGTGATAGTCAATAGAGAGCCGTAAAGTTGACGTTTTTTTACTCTACTGGATGATAGCTGCTAGAGATGATTCAATGACCCATTTCATTGATCTCTAGACTTTGTAAGGAAATATAGAGATTGCCCACATCATCTTTATCCAAAGAGAGCCTTCGAGGCTATAGACACTATATGATGATCTTCTCGAACACTATATGATGTTTTTTTACTTTCAACTTAATTTTCACTTCATTTGGTGATATTTGTGTGATTGAAATTTACCAAGATATACTTCATTCCATTACAAGATACCAAGATATCTTAACTTGATCAATTGAATCATTTGTAATTACTTATATAAGAATCATTGAGCAGAACTCTATTTTTGCCCAATTCAGATTTGCCAGGCACTAATGTCATCCTTATGTTTGCACCCTTATTTCCTTTTTTTGTGAATTTTAAATATATTTAATTTTTATTTCCTAGTATAAAATTCATAAAAAATAGTATTTTTTGAGAAACATTCTAAATAATTACTTGATATTACATTAC